ATATATATAAATAATATATATAAAGAGGGAACTATAGGTGCTAGTAGAAACACCCCAAAGAGTCATTTGCTTAAAAATATAAAGAACTTGCCATGTTCCCAGCACTTGGGAAACAGACGTACATGATAGATATAATCCTTGTCCCATTCCAGGTTGAGAAAGACAATCAAATAAACAACAAGGGTAAGTTCGTGGTAAAGGAAGTATCTGGCATAAGAACCTAACTGAATGGGTGTTATGGGATCTTCGGGAAATCTTTTCTAGAGAAATTGACTTACAAGCTGAAACTTGAAGTGTGAGTATGGTTCAGCCAGGCACAGAGCGAGGAGAAGTGTGTCCTAGGAAGCGGAAAGGTCACAGGTGTTCCAAGCAGAGACAACAGCATGAGTGAAAGCCCAGAGCTGCAGTGCCTGGTTTATTTAAGAAACAGAAAAGGGTCTAATATGGAAGGATTCTAGATCTGAAGGTGGACAGGTGGGCAGGACAAGGCCAGGTAGGCTGGGTAAAGGAGCTTGGGTATGTTCCTAAAGCATTGGTGGGGTCCACTGGAGGCAGGGGAGTGCCCTGAACAGATTTCCCTTTTGGAAAGATTAATGGATCGCTAGTAGCTTGTGGTAAGGAAAGTGGATTGAAGGGTCCGAGAAAGCCCAGCAAGCAGACAATTACAGAAACCCTTCTGGATGAAGGAGCCTGGACCAAGATTAGGAAATGAGTGCAATAGACAAACAATTAGATGTGGTTTCGTGGCATCTTACATGGGGGCTGGGAAAGAGCTGACATTGACTAAGAAGACATTGATGAATTCCATTTTGGCCTCCATCTTCCTTCCTTCCTTCCTTCCTTCCTTCCTTCCTTCCTTCCTTCCTTCCCCCTCCTTCTCCTCCTCCTCTCTCTCTGTCTCTCTTTCTCTGACTGCCCTTCATTAAATAACTGCACTTCTACGTACTGTTGTATTTGTATTTTCATTACTTTTCCGCTGACAGTCAATACACTTCTAACTTTCTTTGCGCTTTCTCCGTGAAACTACAGACTTCATTAACTTACCTCAGGAACTTTCCTTTATGGAACCTTATGCTGAAGGAAACAAAGATGAAGTAAATAAAGAGAAACTTTCCAGGCCTCCAGGGGAATGTCCTTATTCACAGACTATCTTACATAAATGTGCATGGAAACTAGGAAGCCCTAATTTCTGGTGTATAAAGTAAACAAAGTGAACTAATTAAAACAATCTGTTTGGAGTGCATTCAGATCTCCCTGTTGACCCCAAATTCCAGCCCTAGCTCCTTGGGGGTTTACTTTCTGTCCTTTATACCTTCTCTGGTCTGTCATGAGAAGCAGCCATGTAAGAAAGAAGTGCTATAGATATCCTTCTAATGCACATGCCCATGGGACACACATCTCACAGAATCCCAATATTGATAATAATGACAACGTAGGGGAATGAAACCCACAACGTCTCTTAGGCATGAGGACTGTTTTCTTTTCATTTTTTAAAAATTTTGTTATTCATTTATTTTGAGAATGGGAGAGGGGATGAGAGAGAGAGAGAGGAGAGAGAACCCCAAGCAGTCTCCATCCTGTCAGCACAGAGCCCAATGAGCGGCTTGCACTCACGAACCATGAGATCACGATCTGAATCGAAATCAAGAGTTGGATGTTTAACTGACTGAGTCACCCAGGCAGCCGGGCATGAGGACTATTTTATGTTGATTAGTTTTAAGAAGCAGAAGGTTGAGGAAGAAACTTTGACCTTCACCCAACTGCCTAAAAGAATTTAAATGGAGAGTCTGCTCTGGGAAGGGAGCTGTCCCCATAGATAAGTGCAGTGTAATATGAACTTGGTGAGGGGGACAGGCAGGACCCTAGCAAAGTCTGTTTATGCCCTCCTTGTGTATGGCCCAGCAAACATTCAGTTAACAAACCTCTACTCTCTCTCATCTTCCTGTGAGTTGTCTTCCTTCCCTTTGAAGACCCAGAACACCCTCCCCTATCCCTTGGTTTCAAATGACATCTAAGTTTCCATTGTTTGACTGCATATGGGCCCCATATTCTTGTGGAGCCCCCATACATACAAAATTAAATTTGGTATTCTCCTGTTTGTCACGTGTCAATGTAATTCTTAGACCAGCCAAAAGGACCGTGAAAGGTGGAGGAAATGTTTTCCTCCCAAACAATAATCATTATTGTTTGTTTTGTATCTAGTAAAGTTTTAATTACATAAAAGAAGCATCTAGATGAGTTTGGGACAGCAGAGTGGTACGAGCATGGCCAGGACTAGGCACCCAGGGCCAGCCCTAGATTGATTTCTACCACCCTAAGACAGATGCTTCCTTGAATTGTTTTTATTCTGGTAAAATACACATAACAAAAATTTACCATGTTCATTATTTTTAAACTCAGTGGCATTAAATAGTTACAATGTTGTGCAGCCATCACCAACATCCGTCTCTAGGACTTTTTTCTTCCCAAACTGAAAATCTGTACACATGAAACAGTAATCCCCCATTCCCTCCTTCCCACAAGCCCTGACAGCCACCGTTTTGCTTTCTGTTCCTATGGATTTGATTGTATAGTAGGTATTCTCTGGGACTGGTTTGTATCCTCGAGGTTCATTCATGATGTACCATGTGTCAGAATTTCCTTCCTTTTTTAAGGGTTAATAATATTCCACTGTGCGTCTATGCCACGTTTTACTTGTCTCTTCATTCATAGATGGACACTTGGATGCTTCCATGTTTTAGCTCTTGAAAATAATACTGCTGGGGCTCCTGGGTGGCTCAGTCGGTTGGGCGTCCGACTTCAGCTCAGGTCACGATCTCGCGGTCCGTGAGTTCGAGCCCTGCGTCGGGCTCTGGGCTGACGGCTCGGAGCCTGGAGCCTGCTTCCGATTCTGTGTCTCCCTCTCTCTCTGCCTCTCCCCCGTTCATGCTCTGTCTCTCTGTCTCAAAAATAAATAAACGTTAAAAAAAAGAAAAAGAAAATAATACTGCTATGAACACAGGTATACAAATGTGTCTTTGAGTCCTTGCTTTCGATTTTTTGGGGGTAGGTACCAGGAAGTGGCATTGCCAGATCATATGATAATCCTATATTTACCTGTTTGAGTAACTGCCACACTGTTTTCCACAGCAGTCTCTTTGGCTGATGACGTGCTGAGTACCGTTTCATGTGTTTGTTGGCCATTTGTGTATCTTCTTTGGAAAAAGCTCCATTTATTCTTTTGCCCATTTTTAATGGGGTTGTTTGGGGTGTTTTGTTGCTGTTGTTGAGTTGTAGGAGTACTTTGTATATCATGGATATGAATCCTCTAACAGATACGTGATTTGAAAATATTGTTTCCCATTCCATAGGCTTCCTTTTCGCCATATTGATTGTGTTCAGGATGTACAGAGATGGCCCCTTGAATTTCATACCATAGGTGCCTCCCTTGCCTCACCCCAGTCCTGACGCTGATTTTAGTCCTTGTCTCTTCCGTAAGCATTTGAAAAATCTAAAGCATTTTAAACAACCCAGAGTACACTTGGGTTTCTGAAAGTTTAATTAAGCTCAGAATTTTATTCTTCCCTCTGAACTGATAACCTAGGGCATCAAAATTCGCCTGTTGTTTCTGAAGCATGACCCGGTCTATCCTAATTGTTACTGGGGACAGGGAGCCTCAAAGAAAGGTTGCTAAGACCCCTCTGTGCCATCCCTAAGGAGAGGAAAGCTTTAAAACTCTTATTAAATGATCACCGTGGGCCAGACACTATTTTATTTTACATGGGTTAACTCCCTTAATCTTGATGACAGCTTTATAATATGGACGCTGTTTGCACCCCTCACGTTTCACATGAGGGCAGGAGGCAGAGGGGGTTCGATAAACAGCCAAAGGTAAGAGAGGTAATAGGTGGCAGAACTAGACTTTGAATCACAGAAGGCTGGTTTCAGACTCTGTCCGCTTCACCAATTATAAACTCTGCTAGATACATCATCTTCCCCATGTTTAATTTTAAAAGTTATTTCAGATTTTGGCATCGTGCGACGCAGTTGGTTTCCAGCATGCTGCCTTTGCAGGCTTCTCTTAGATATCGTGGCTCCTCTCCTAGCATTTCTTTTCCTTCTCTTGGCTTACAGAAGTGACTTCTATTTTATCCTCACGTGAGCAGGATCCGAACCTCCTGTAAATCCATCCTTTCCTACTGAACACTGTATCCATGGCTAGATTCATGAGCTGAAAATCAGGGCCAACAATGAAACCTCTCCTACCTCTAAAAGGCTTATTGCAATAGAGCAATGATGTTCCATCTCTGTCCGTCCTACCCTAAGAGACTCAGGGCTACACCTGACTCAGGTGCAGAAACGCAAACCCCACTTGTCTGGCTGAGAGCCAGAAAATGATGCCATCTCAGCAAGTTCAATGTCTCGGCAGGCCCTACCTCTCAGGGAAGAGAATAATTCGCGTCCTCACATACTCTCCTCGGCTGATGATGTGTTTGATGTTCTCCCATATTCTTTCACCAGCATTGAATTTTAATGGATTAGGTAGAAGAGCCCAGCACACCTTATGAAATAGGATGTCTCTTTGAATCAAGCCTATTTATCCAGAAAAGAATCACTTCTGTAGGTTTGTGGAACACCTCAGCTGTTGACAAATGATCCCCATGGCTTCTTTTCATCTGCCTAGGCTCCAGAACCCCATTGATCTTGAGGATAAAACGGCTTTACCACCACGCCACCCCCCATCGTCCTAATTATTGTGATTTGTCATTATCTGCAGGGTCCTATGGATCTACTCTGAGACCGGTACGTGGGTGTACCCTTTGTTTGCCAGACTCAGCCCAGTGGGGCTGACAGCCTTCTTCTCCCTCAGCTACATCTTTACCGCCAGCATTTATCTACTTGGAGAGAAGCTCAACCACTGGAAATGGGGTCAGTTTATTTCTCTTTTACCTACAGAGACACATCTTCCTTACACTCTCTCCACTCCTCCTGAAAACAGAGGGAGAGTCTAGTCCAAAGCGGAAGGAAGCGGTCCTTGATGGCTCTGTCCAGAGGACTCAGGTCCTACCAAAGCAGGCAAAGGGAAAGCCTGGAAGAAGTTTGCATTTTCTTAAAGGACCCCATCACATTCTTTCCCTGCCCCCCCCCCCACCACACACACACAGCACCTCCTTTAACTTTAAGGCTAAAAATAATCTTAGAGAGTTCAGGACCCAGAGCAAGAGCAAGGTGTCACTATCCCCGCGTGAAAAAATGAACTCAGAGTCTTCCTCCCTTAAGTGAGGGACTGAGCGATCCAAGCTGTTAAATGTCAAGGTTTTCTTCTTGAAGGGTGTGGGTCCAGATGACCTCTTAGTTCTCACCCTCAGTAGTGCTTTCCCAGATGGCCTCCCATCCCTCTCCCATTCGGCTGCTTCTCAACCCTTAGCACAACATTTACCAGATGAAATCACCCCCTGTACTTGAGATGGGAATTGTCATTTAGACAGGGTCTTAGGCCAAGTGAATAGGTCAGCAAGCTAAGCTTCCCAATTCTAGGTGGTTGGAACCATATTGCTTCTTCTTAAAAAAAAAACAAAAAACTTAACTCAGCTGACTTTAAAATAGATTTTCTTTGATTCCTTGCTCCCCCCACTGCCCCGACCCCCAGAATATTATTTTGTTGGAGAAGTAACTATCAAAAAGTCAGACTGCAAAATAATCATGATTTTTTTCCCTACCCAAAGGGAAGTACAGGAACTCTCCCCTGATTTTGTATATAAGGAAGACAAGAGTCACATACAGTCCCCCACATCACTCGCCCACATGCCATTCTGTTCTATCAAAATAGAAATGGCAGAAGTGGCTTCTTCCGCCCAATCTATGAACTGGTGTGAAAACATAAGCCCGTGTATGCAAAAAAGAAAAAAAAAAGAAAAAGAAAAGAAAAACAACATGACAGTTTCAGAAGCTTCAGTACAAGAGTGTATATTTCTGAGAGAAGAATGAGACCCTAGAGAAATAAGCAGGCAACTTGGCTTTTTCACTTGTTTTCTCCTTTTGGAGAATTTAACTGGTTGGGGAAATCTTAAAGGCAATATCCTTGAAAGCAAACACTTAAAAACCAGTTCATTCATGTTGTGTTTATTTATTCCCAAAATCAGCATTCCAAATCGCAGGAAATTATCCGGGGGGCGGGGAATTTGTTGACATTTCAGATGTGTTGACATCTAATTCTAACTGGTTTGGCAACTTGAAGTTCTTGGTAAGGATTTTTGATGTCTTCCCTAAATATATATATATATATATATATATA